TACTATTGTTAATTATGATTAGCACAGTTTTATTTTGTTTATACTTCTTAGCACTCATTATATGTAAGGTTTGGGATAGTAATTATTTTATCGATAATACTCTGAAAAGACTTGCAATTTGATGCTTTAATATATAAAATAAATATTGTTTTAATTTCCCAATTTTTAATGATGGGTGCTAGATTGTTCCTTTTTATGTCTTTGTCTTTATATCAGAATTTAACAATTAACTTGTATGTTAAAATTACTATGTGCCTTTACTAGAGTTTTTTTTGACTGGTATTAAATTTGAAGGTTAGAAATTTTTTTTTTTACTTTTAATTTCTTTTATTTAAATAATACAATTACTAATCAAAAGTTTATTTAACTATATGACTCAATCTATCACAAATTTTATACTTTAATATAACTAAATATATTAATATTATATTTAAATAATACAATTACTAATCAAAAGTTTATTTACTATCCTTATCATAAACTTTATACTTATACATAACTAAATAGATTAAATTATAATTCGACCAGGTTAAAGATAAGTATTTGTACATTTTATGAAACTAAATTGATTTACATTTATAAAATTTGATTGTTTTTTCACTGAAACATGATTCTAATCCATTTTTAATTTGGTTGTTTATGCTAATTATGGGGCAAATACATGCATAATTAGTCAGATTCTTGGGCTATTCATGACACTACCTGTATAGCGCTGAATATAGTATCTGGTGTAACATGATTTTTTAAATAGTGAAAAATTACATATTTTATCACATAATCATATAAATAATATTTTAAAAAATTGATCTAAAATTGATCTAAATTATTTGTCACGCATGGTACTATTAAGGGTTAAACCTGTTTAAAAAAACCTTACCTGGTTAACCGTCGGTTAAGTTCTTTGGTTATCCAAGTATATCCGGGTTATCCAGGTCATTCAGGTAAACAAATAAGATCATAGATAATTTGTACATAGCATGTTATAATTTTACAAGAAGGGTATTTATTAAGTTATGCCCCATGAAATTACTTTCTAATACCCAATCTTTTTTATGTAATCTTTGACTCAACACAATGCGAATTTGAGTTTTGCTTAGTTATTTTTAGCTTAACACAAACTGAATTCGGTTTTTGTTTCTCAGTTATTTTTAGCTCAACACAAACCGAATTCAGTTTTTGTTCCTCAGTTATTTTTAGATTTCTTCAACCTAGCACAGCACGGATTTGAGTTGTGTTCACTTTATTAATTTTTTTCTAACACAATACGAATTCAGCTTGTGCTCCTCCTCATTCGATCCACATAATATTTCTTAACACAAGCTGACTCTTGGCTTTTGTTCACTCCACACAATATTTCTTAACACAAGCTGACTCTTCCTATTTATATACATCTTATTAGACTATATACTACTACGTAATTATGATACATCAATATGAAAGTCTAATTAAAGTAACCTTGTGACTACACTAAACTATAAGGTTACAAAAAGCTTATTTACAAATGTGACGTTATTTTTCGTCACAGTATATAATCAAAGTTGCAAATTTTATATTTTACCCGGGTAATTATCTGGTTAATCTACCCGGATAGGGTTACCCGGATAACAAATATCTTAACCGGATATCTGTTGTATCTGCGGGTTACCCAGATAGCTTTATCCGGGTCCAACCCTTAGGTACTATATGCAGCGCTATACCGGCATATTGTTAAAATTAGAATACAAGATCAATTACGTATTGATACTTTAAAATTTTATTCATTATAGTCAGGTGATAATTTATGCGGGTCTATGCGGGTCTACCGGGTACCCGCCTCTGAGAACCGAAACCGGGCGGTTCTAAAATCATGGGACCGGACTCGACCCGATGGGCCGGTTCTCGGTTCGATTCCGGGTTTCGGTTCGGTTCTGCGGAACACTACCTAAAATTCTGCTAGGGATCAATTTGACTCGGGTCAAGTTTAACTTGACCTAAAAACCAACTTGACCCGTAACATATATAAGCGGAAATTTCATTTCCGCTCATACTCAACTACCCAGGATATAAAAACCCAAAAGGCGGTTTACTATAGCACAATTTTTAATTGGCTAATTTACGATTCTTTTTACATGATTATATTTTTTAAAAAAATTTCACAATTTCAATATAAGAGACAGTGGGCTTTCGAGTTTATTATTTATTATTTATCCAATTCAGCCCTTAAAGTGTCTGATCGACCAAATGTATATTTAAAAGCCTGAAGTTTGTCATCATATATAGGGCTGATTCTATAAATAATAAATAATAAATTTAAAAGCCTGAAGTCTCGTTTTTCCTTAGCGGAACTCATGAACATAATGATTAGGAAATTATATTACTAATTGTACTAATTGCATAGTATGCCGGCGTGCTGATCATAATTTTGTTAGTCTACTTCAGTATATACAATACTTGAATATTGGTAGAAGGAAATATCAGAAAGGATTGAAACGTTATGTTTGCATTTGATCGGGCGGCGTCCCATATATTTCTACAGTTCATAAATTTTTCAGGGGTTATTTACGGCGATCATAAATTTATATACTTAGTAAATTCATGTTATATACAGATTATAGATAGATAGATTTATAAAAGATTATGATTATTCTTATTATTAGATAGACTTTAGCTCTGAATACACAATGCAGTGCGTTAATGGTCATTATATTTTGTAAACATTTTTTACATTGTAATTTAATTTCCTGAAAGCCAATTTCCACAGATAATACATAACAATATAGAAAACATCATTAATTAAATGTATATAGCAGTATCACCTATATTGAAAAAGATTCATTCAAAATATCGAAATATGGGAAAATTTATAGCAAAGTAACTCTCGAGAATTTGTCAATAGGAATGCAAAATTTATCGAAGTAACTTTATAGTAAATTTTTATTTATGCTATAAATCGATATATGCAATGAATATATCGAAGATTCTTTTATAAGGCAATTTTTAACCCAAAAGAAATAAATAAAAACAAAAAACCGATGTCTAAGCCTTCTAGTAAAAATTTCGTAAATAATTTCATACAGCAAATATGTATAATATAATGTAATACCAGTCTTGATTCTAAATCATCTTTTTCCCGTCAAACGCAGAAGGTTGCCTTCGTTTAGGGAAACATTCTAAATGAGTTCAGAGTCATTTAAGTTTGACATTGAGCAGCTGCAGAAGCTGGTCGATCCCAAAAATTTAGAATTGCTTCAAGAGTATGGTGGTTCTGAAAAAATTCTTGATGGTTTGGAAACTAACCGTGATCATGGTTTAAGTTCCGATGAAAATAAAGAGAAAAGACAAAAGCATTTTGGAAAAAACGTATGATTTTCTAATCGAACTACTATCAATGTTGCACATCGATTAATATTTAAATCTTAGGTTTTGCCAAAAGTTGATCAACGATCATTTTTATTTCTGGTTTGGGACGCTTTTTGTGATAAAACCTTAAGTAATATTTAAGATGTTTAATTTTTAATATTTACGTCTTTTCCATTATTCTGATAAAATGTTAAATTTTTTTATTTTTTATAATTAGTTTTATTAAGTATTGCTGCACTTGTTTCTCTTGCACTTGGTATCAGTGAAGATTTATCAAATGAAGCTGATGAACCAGATCTTGGTTGGATTGAAGGTAAACGATTGTTTTTTTTTTATCTTTGATATTATATTAAATGCAATATATATCTTTACACTGTTATATAGTTTTTGAATTTTCCCTATTTTTTTAGGTACCGCAATCCTTGTTGCTGTTGCTGTTGTAGTTCTAACGAACGCGATAAATAACTATCAAAAGGAAAAGCAGTTTAGAAAACTTAATGAAAAAAAGGAAGATCGTAATATCAAGGTGATTTCGTCGGATTAAAGTGCTTTTAGTACTGAGTAATAAATAACTTTTATTGTTAATTTGTAGCTTATTCGAGATGGTAAAGAGAAACAAATTTCAGTTTTTGATGTCAATGTTGGCGACATCATGGTAAATCTATGAATGTTTTTTGTTTGTACTTTTTCAAGCTTACATTTAATGTTTATACTCATTACACAGGTTCTTGAACCTGGTGATATAGTTGCTGTTGATGGTATATATTTAAGTGGCCACAATCTCACTTGCGATGAATCTAGCGCTACTGGTGAATCAAAAGCCATAAAAAAAGGTGATAAAGATCCTTTCATATTAAGTGGAGCAAAAGTTACAGAAGGAGTTGGTAGAGTAGTTGTTATTGCTGTTGGTAAATAAAATTTTCTGTTTAATACGTTTGCATGTTTACTTAATATGTCATATATATCAGATGTTATAATTTACTTTTCAAATAGGCGAACATTCTTACTTTGGAAAAACCATGATGGTGAACATACACTTTTGCAATTCTTAAAGTTTTCTATTCATAAACACCACTAATGCTCTTATTTAATACATACATATTAGGCATTGCGCCATAATGAAGGCGAAGAGACACCACTTCAAATGAAGTTAAATCTTCTTGCAGAACAAATAGCGAAATTAGGCGTTGCTGTTGCACTACTTATGTTGATGTATGAATATCTGCTGCTCCTTGATTTAAATAATTTATTAAGTGATATAAAATGAATGATCATTAATTTTAATAATACGCTTATTCTTAGTACACTACTCCTTAAATATTTTATTAATGCGGCTATTTCTGACAATTTTCCTTCATTTGAAGAGATATTGGAGGCCATGACTGCTATTATTGTTCAAACAATTACTATTATCGTTGTCGCTGTACCAGAGGGTGTATGTATAAATTGTTTTTTTTTTTTTATTTTAATGTACACTTATTTTTATCTATATTTTTTAGTTATATATAATATTTATGTCTATTTTTTTTAAAAAAAAAATTATGTTGAATGATTATGCATATTAACCTTGTCTTAGTTACCCATGGCCGTAACACTTGCGCTTGCTTACGCAACTACCAAGATGTTGAAAGATAATAACTTGGTCCGAGTTTTAGCTGCTTGGTATATACTACATGATGTTTGTGTGTGTTCTTTTTTATTTTTTATTTAATAAAATTTTATAAAAATTTTCAGTGAAACTATGGGAAATGCGACTGCAGTATGTTCGGATAAGACTGGTACATTGACTCAAAACAAAATGACAGTGGTGAAAGGATTTCTTGGTCAGGAAAAGTTTGAGAATAATAATGAAATTCAACAATGGAAAAATAAAATTAAACAAAAGATATACAATATTATTACACAAGGCATATGTGTTAATTCTACAGCGTTTGAAGATAAGGACGAAAAAGGCCAATTGAGTTTTATTGGGTGTGTGTATAAAAATTAAATATCTAATTAATTGTCGAAAACTAACATACCAATTAAATTTATTTTTGTTTAATCCAATAGTTCTAAAACTGAATGTGCCTTACTTGAATTTTGCAAAGAATTTGGATTAGACTACAGTGAAATAAGATCTCAATTTAAGAACGTAAAGGTTTATCCTTTTGCATCAGAGAGAAAAAGCATGACTACAATAATTAAATTATCCTCATCTAGTACTCATAATCAAACTTCAGAACAAGCAGAATATCGTATTTATGTTAAAGGCGCATCTGAAATTGTTTTTGATGGTTGTACACACTATGCTGATGCTGAAGGTCAAGAGCATCAATTGGACGATAAAGCTAAACAAAACTTCAGAGGCATTATTTCAGATTATGCAGCAAATGCTTTGCGCACAATTTGCATGGCATATCGTGATATAACCAAGAGTGAATTTCAACAGATTAGTGATGAAAAAGCACCTATTAATGATCTCGTTTGTTTAGGTATAGTTGGTATCGAGGATCCTCTGCGTCCTGGTGTTACAGAATCTGTTAAAATTTTTAAAAAGGCTGGTGTTTCTGTAAGAATGATTACTGGTGATAACTTAGAAACCGCAAAAGCAATTGGAAAAAACGCCGGTATCTATAAAAATGGTGTTGCTATAACTGGTCCTGAATTTCGTAACAAGTCAAAAGAAGAACAGCGCAGCATAATACCTCGATTAGAAGTACTTGCACGTTCTTCACCTACGGATAAGACTATCGTAGTTTCTCTTCTTAAAGAAAATGACGAAATCGTTGCAGTTACTGGAGATGGTACTAATGATGGACCTGCTTTAAAATTGGCAGATGTTGGTTTTAGCATGGGAATTGCCGGTACTGAGGTTGCAAAGGAAGCATCTTCTATTATTTTAATGGACGATAACTTCAATTCCATTGTCAACGCATTGAGATGGGGTCGTGCCGTTAACGATAGTGTACGCAAATTTTTACAATTTCAACTCACAGTTAATATTGCAGCAGTTATAATATCTTTCACTAGTGCAGTATTAAGCGATGATAATGAATCCATATTAACAGCTGTACAACTACTTTGGGTTAATCTTATTATGGACACATTGGCAGCACTTGCTTTAGCAACCGAGTCTCCGACCGACGAACTTTTATCTCGTTTACCTACTTTAAAGAGTGCATCATTAATTAATTATCGTATGTGGAAAATGATTATTGGACAAGCAATTTTCCAAGTGGCCACTAGTTTGATCCTGTTGTATATGGGACCAGAGATTTTTCATCTTAATACTGATGATCCTGAGGAGAAAATCGTGTTTAGTACCTTGATTTTCAATACCTTTGTCTTTCTCCAAATCTTTAATGAGATCAATTGTCGACGTATTGATGATAATTTAAATGTTTTCGCCAACATTTTTAACAATTATACATTCATAATTGTTCAGATTTTTATTATACTTGGACAAGTTATTATCGTTCAATATGGAGGTATTGCCTTTGGAACAACAAACCTCGCTTGGTATTATTGGCTTGTGACTGTTTTAATCGGATCTCTCTCCTTACCCGTTGGTGTGATTATTAGACTTTTTCCTAATTCTTGTGTACCAGATCATATTCTTAACGAATATTACAGACCAAAGGTCACTAAAGAGAAGATGTTATGGGAACAGGCAATTCATGATGTAAGAGCTCAACTCAGAGTATTTGGTGCTATAAGGAAACATCCAAAATAAAAACGATCTGACCAAATTTCCGTCGGATTGTAAATTACGCGACAAGTAAATAAAAATAATTAATTGGTTTTACCTTTATTTATCACAAGATCTTGGTTGGAAATTACTGTGTTCTATTTCTTAAACGGTTAACTCGCAATTTATGATTTTATTTTTATATTCAATTATTTTTGATAAAATTCGATATGTTACATAGAAATACGATAAAGTTCAATTTGTTTATAATAAAAAAATTGTTTATAACTGTTATATATGTGGCTATTATAGTAGATAACGTGATTAGAGCTCCGAAAAATTGTGAAGGGTATTATAAAAGGGGTCTTTTAGACCGCGCTATACGGTAGTTTTTTTTTGTGCGCGTTTTCGTCTCTCATTATTTACGCAATAAAATAATTTCGCTTAACAACTAGTTTCATCCGGTTTCACTCAATACACCTACAATTGCTTCAAAGACACCACATTTCGCCGACGCTCATTCACTGACAAGCTTATTTTAAGATGATTAATTTACAGATAAGTTCGTTTCGTAGACAATATATTTTGCCGACAGCTCATTTTGTAATACTAGTCAATATTGTGAGGATTAAGTTTAGAATTAGAATTAAGTAATATGAGCTATTGATGAAATATGCTGTTTATGAAATGAACTTATCTGTAAATAAATCGTCTGCAAAATAAGCTTATCAGTGCATGAGTATCGTTGAAATATGGTGTCTTTAAAGTGTTTGCCAGTGAAATAATATGGACCCGCTATATTTATACTTAATCATAAAAAAGGTCAAAATTTTCAGATTTCTTTGTGAAGAATAATTATCAGGAGCCACAGTAATTTGGGAGCTTTGTCAAATGTAAGATTGGATGACTTTACGGAATCCTATCAATTTTTTGTTTCAATCTTTATGGTTTTTATGCAATGGTCCTTATGGTACCTCGTTAGACGCAGGTATTTTTTTCTGGCTAATGTTGTGATTACGTATGGTTGTTGAAATCGAGGTTACTTATGGTAATGTTTTGTCGCTTTTTTAGTTATCAATAAGCGCCGATGGCTCTGCGACCATTACAGGCAATGCAGAAACCTCTTATTTGGTGATTAGGCACACAATCGCAATGACTGTGCAAGGATCACTTGTCTGGCTTTGCAGCTGTGATAGCAATGCAAGGTCTCTCACATTTAGTGAGTAGGCTCCAAGGTGATAGCAATGCGAGGACCTTTTGTTTGGTGGTTGGGCTCAACAGTGATTATAGTGCAAGAAACATCATTTGACGATTAGGCTCCGAGGCTAGAGAGCAAGGCAGGTATTTCATATTTGTTATGAAGCTCCGTGATAATAGCAACACAAGGACCCGCTGCTTCGTGAGTAAGTTTCGTTACTACAAGGGCCTTTATTTGATGATCAGCACTGATAGATTTCAAGGATCTTTTTTTAATAATTGAGCACCATGGTGATAACAATGCGAGGACCTTTCGTGATTAGTGTAGGGTCCGGAATGGGTGGGTGGCAGGCCGGTTCGTTCCGGACCTTATACAAGAGCAATGCGGAACCTCATTCTTAAATTAGACTCACAATAACAGCAGGGCTAAAACAACACATAGTAAATGCCGGCCATTCAATAAGTGTCGTTCTTGATTCACATTATATTATAATTTTTTGATGCAGTATTATACATATGCATATTTCTAAAGACGATCAAATATTAAATATTTCTACTAATGATTTTTATGTATCAAGAAAGATACTTTAAACAATAAGCAATGGCACAGTAAATGGCCGGCATTTACTATGTGTCGTTTTAGCCCTGAATAACAGCAGTGAAAGGACCTATTGTTTCATAAGTAGGCTTAATGACAATATCGATGTAAGGGTTTTCATTTGGTGATTGCACTAGAGCGTGATGGCAATGCGGAAACCTATTGTTTGATGTTTGGGCTCCACATCAGCAATGGCAGTGCAACGATTTCTTGTTTGGTGATAAGATTGTTCCATGCAAAAGATACAATGGCTGAGTTAGTATTAAGCTGCTATGACATTTTAGGTAGCCATGAATATGTAATTTGTTATAAAATGTGAATAGTTTTAGACAAAAGCATTCCTGACACTTTACGGTGCCCACGACTTATCATACAGTTCTCGTATTTTTTCTTCTACATTAATACAGTCATCTGACTGAGCAATCATAATTAAAAAAGTAGATTGAAGCATTTAATTACTTTTTATTTTTTTTTAATCAATAGGACTGGTGAAAATAGGATTGGTTTATGGCTGATAAAATTTTGTTTTATCTCGTTATGAATTCAAACGAGTTTTTGAACTTTTGAGTGGGATTGTACTGGTTTTGTGCAGCACTACGTGCTGCGCAGCTACCCTAATGTTATCAGGTTGCATGCAAATTTGGAATTCTTGATAACTGGTACCCAACAAGTGAGCTTGAGTCATTGGAACTTTTGATTATTCTGATTTTGATGTGGTTTCCTTAAGAAACACAATTTTATTATAGTAAATTAGATTTAAATAAATTTTTTTTTATAATTTTAAGTAAAATTTATATTTATAAGAATGAAAACTCTGAAGTAAATGAGTAAGTAAATTATTAAAATTGAATAAATTTAATAACAAAAATTCTAAATTAAGTTTCTTTTAAAAATTTTATAGTGATAAAGATATGAATATTCTTTTTCACCAAGAAGCAATTGGTTTAATCAAAAAATGCTGCTATTGTCAAAAATCTATTGCAATACTAAAGTTTACAGTTGTCAAAAAAAATTTTATTTCATAAAAGAAAATATAGATGTGTATTAGGGATTGGTCAACTGAAAAATCTGTATAATAAACTACTATGTTTAGTCAACTAATTAAACATATATCTATTGTATAGTGTTCTATACCAATTTTAATGATTGTTACAGATTAAAATGAAATCTGATCAAAACTATTTTTTAAAGAAAATTTAAAATTTTTTGAGTGATATTTTTTGGGGTTCTTTTTAGTATTAGGGGTAGGGTTTAGGGTTAGGTTTATTAATAATGAGTATATGTGGGTTTTATAGGCTCTAAGGGTGGACATAAGAGGTCCTCAGTTTCATTTTGATCAGATTTCATTTTAATCTGCAATAATGATTAATCTATTAGTATAAAAGTTTATTACTTCAATATTATAATTATAATTATTAGTTGATAATATTTTAAGTTTATATATTGCTTTACCAGTTTGGAAGATTAATATTGCAATTGAATTTGGTGTTGGAATAGTAGATAGTGTTGGAAGAATAATACAAGTCACTCTCGTTATAGTGAACTCTTGATATAGTGAAGACTAATTAAAATCTCAATATAGTAAAGTTAAGCTCGAAGCCAGTTTATATAAAATTCTCTCGATATAGTGAATTTACTAATAAATCTCTCGTTATAATAAATTTTTAAAAAATTTTTATTAATGAAACGGATCACTTCACTATAATGAGAGTGACTTGTATTATGTAATAAATATTAAATTGTAATAGAAAAAAAATAAGATCTATATAATTAGTACTAGTGCAATGTGTGGTGCTTCATGCTACCCATCTTATTCAATATTTGAAAAAAATTTAATAAATTCAAAATAGAATATTCAAGTAAATTTATTAATTAATAGATTTTATACTTATTATTAAATTAAAATTACATAAGCATTGATGATAGCAAATATTAATAATAAGTTATAAAATTACAAATTTTAGCAAATCTTGAAGTTTCAAGTTATATACTATTTATATATTTTGATAAAGTAAATATAAGATAAATTAAAAAATCTTTAGAAGTATTAATAATAAATATAAGTACTATATAATATTATAAGAAATTATCAAGTACTTAAAATCATAAGATGAAGAAATGTTAGTAAAACACAATGTTTGAAATTGTAACTAAAAAGAATCAACTATCCAATAAAATTATAAATCTATCCAAATTATTAAACTACTTGCTATTAAAGATTATAAGAGAAATGCCAATTAAAATTAACCAAAATTATTTTTCTATTCTAGCTTTAAAAAAATAAATACAGAATATATTAGTGTTTAAAATAATTTTAACTTATTATACAAAACATATAAACATAAAAAAAAATTTATTCTGCTTAAATATAACTCTGTTAGAATATAATTTAGTAGAATATAATTCAGATATAATTAAAATGTTTCTAAATTTGCTCAATTAAATAACATTTAAATAGCAAAATTTGGTTTATATAGCTGAATAACAATCTAGCTAAATTATAAATTTTCAAGAGTAAAAAGATACTGCTGGTGCTTTTGATAGTATATTCATATACATGATATATAGATATAGAAAAGTTAGTTGCATATATTATTATTTATTAAAATTTATTCTAATTATATTTAGTTTCTAATTTAATAAAATACAAAAGATTAAAGTTAAGTATTACTATAATAAATTTTTATTTAGAAACTATTTGAATCTCTATAAAAATTTTTTGAAAAATGTATTCTGACTTTTTCTAAATTATCATTCTGAAAAATGTTTATTTTTGTAACAAACCATATACAAATTCCTGGTTATTTTTATAGAATCCTAATAAATTTCAAATAAAAATCAAATCTAGATAAGATTTAGCTTCTAATTATAATAAAGTACAAAGAATTAGAAGTAGAATCTTATCTGGATTTGATTTTACCTGAAAATTATTAGAATTTTATAGAAATAATTTTGAAATATGTATTTTTTAAAAGGATAAAGTTAGAATAAAGAATCTTATGAAGATAAATGTTTTAGAAAATAGACTTTTAAAATGACAATATAATTTTAAAAAGTTTTTTCTATAGTGTATAGTTCTAAGTATAAAAATAGCAATATAAAAATAAAAATATTTTTAGTCCTTCTATAGGAATATTTAAAAAATTTACTAATATAAGAAAAATTTAGCTTATAATAAACATTAACTTTTGCAAAAATTGTATCCTAACTTTCTTCAGACTATTATTCCATTTTTTAAAATAAAATATAT